CAATTGATTGGAGTACATGCGATTCTTTGCTTAAGCAATTATTGATTCTCATTATCTTGGGGTAGATTGATGCTGATGAAGATGCTATAAAAATTCTCTATTTTACGAGTAGAGTAGGTTTATTGTGGTGGGAAAGTTACTTAGGGTTAATGGAAATAGGGATTGAGTTTGTGTGTGCATGAACTATTTCCTTTTCTATTTATACTGCTGAAGATCTCTTCTTGCAAAGGTCTGTTTAATATTCTTCCTTGCTCTGTTTCTTGAATGTCATTTGGTTCTTCCTTTTGTGTCTTTAGTGTTTTATTTAGTGTTGATGGAAATTATAGTAATTGAATTAGTGTGTGCATGAACTGTTTCCTTTTCCATTTGTACTGCTAAAGATCTCTTCTTGCAAAGGTCTTCCTTTGCCCTGTTTCTTGAAATGCCATTTGGTTATTCTTTTTTTTTGTGTCTGTAGTATTTTATTTTAAACATTTCGCTTTCATAGTTGATGTAATTGAAATCTTTAGTAATCACTGTCACTTAACTGAGAATGATGGAAAATGGTGGGAGTTTCTCACTGTGACTGAGAACGGTGGAGAACTGGCGGAGAATGATAGAGTTTCTCACATAACAATARTAATCACATCAAACATGCTACATGACAAATGTTTGCAGGATTAGATTGTGCTATTATTTAATTCAAAAATATGCTGGATTAGAGAGAAAAACCAATTCAAAAAACATGAATTGGAGTCCAATTCATGTTTTTGAATCTCATTAAGTAGCATTTGTGATTTCTTAATCTTAAAATAGTATTTTTAATTAAAAAAATTTTCCATTTCTTTTTCAAAGATTCAGCCTATTAAAATAGCAATTGTTCTTGGTTAATTTAATTTAGTGATTTCTGAATTTTGGTTCTCTGCCTTCACTCTCTTTCTACTATGCACTAAAACCCAGCATCTCTGTGTGTGTGYGGCTATGCAAATTGGACTCAATAACTATTTTGAACTTTTGGTAAAAAGGTTACTTAAAACTTTTAATTTTTTTACCACAATATTATATGTAAACTGTTGAACTTTAGCATATTAAAATTCTAAAAATGGGTGTTCATCTTTCAGGTTCTTTATTGCAATAAGCCTTGTCTAACTTTGAACAGTTGYATTAGTACCTGAACATACTTCAGTATATCCTAACAACTGTTTAAAAGGTAAAAGTTGACGTTGTAGTTGTCATGTGGATTCATCTGCACTTTCACATTCACTGTGATATATTTATTACATTTTCAGCATCTTGCATTTTGTGTCTAAGGAAAGTCAATCCATTTTCCTGCAGTGATTTTCCTTTAGAACTTGTCTCAGCCAATGGTGGAAACCTTTATGCCTTTATGTGGCTGTAGGCAGGATGATGCCTAAGATTTCCACTTGTAGTGGACAGAGATGAAAGTCTCTGCTCTCTTAACCTCTGCAGGCATTAATATAGGCCTGTGTGTGCTGCTTTTGTCATTGTATTCTGTCCTGAGAAAACAACCAGCAAATGTTAGTGTCTACTTTGGCCAGAAGCTTGCTCGAGAAAACATAAAACGCAATGAATTTATATGCTTAAAGAGGTTAGTTCCTTCCCCTAGCTGGATTTTGAAAGCCTTGGAAACATCTGAAGATGAAATCTTGGAAATTGGTGGCTTGGATGCTGTGGTTTTCCTCAGAATACTTGTTTTCAGGTGATTAACAKCTCACTTCCTGAAAATTCTATCCAGTAAAGTTGATAGATATGAATTTGTTCCCCTCGTGACCAACATATGAATTTCATGTTACTGGTGGTACTATTCTTTGGGTGTTGACTGGGAAGATATATGATACCCAGTTGCCTGTACATGCCTAGCGGGTGTTGGACACATACTGGATTCTGCATGAACACTTCTATATGTACTCTATAGCATGAATGCTTTTAAAATATGTAAAATGATGGTACCTTTTAATAAAACATACTGTAAAAAWTCTGTACATGTTAGAAATTTAACTAAACTTGGCAAGACTTAAATTTTGAGAAATGGCATTCAGATCTAAAATCTAGATATACAAGAATGATATAAGCATGGTTCACAATTTCAATGTCATCTATTAAAAAAAATTTCAATGCCAATGGAGATTTCACCATGTGGAGTTGGAGAAACTTTGGAGATATTTCACTTATTTCATAAGATATTTAGAAAATCTAAAACATTAGGAAAGTTTTCTAGAAATGTAGAATTAGTGAGAAATCTTTAGAAGAAATATAACTGCACATTTAAGGCTCAAAAAACCATAGAAAAGAACTGTATAAGTCAAATAGGAGAAGATTAAGAGACCGTAATAGGCATCTTTCTCTTTGTCTCCCTTTTGTCATATGGCCATGTTATCTTCTTTTAATATATAAATTACTTGCTATTTTCACTTTTGTCTTTATTGTTACTTTATGTTTTGAACTTTTGATTACATTGAGAATACTCTTGTAGTTATATGCATTTCCTTTTCTTTTGAATTATAGTGACTTGGTAAGTGAACCGTATATAAAATAGTAAGCCAATTATCCAATCACCAATCCCTTGTTGGTTCTTTAGGAAAATATTTTTAAAAAATTAG